AACAGATTTTAGTCTTAAATTATAGACTCTATATGCATGACTGTTAGAAGAATAGCCAAGAAAGATCCCTTTATCAGATTTTTCATCAAACTTGCCAATATTTTCTTTCCCATTGTTTAAAACAAAACATGTACATCCAAAAACCCTTAAATAGTTTATGTTGGGTTTTCTTCCTTTGTAAAGTTCATATGGGGTTTTCTTAAGAATGGGTCTAATCAAAACTCTATTCAGAACATGACAAGTTGTGTTTACAGCATCTGCCCAAAAGTATTTAGGTAAGGCATTTTCACAAAGCATTGTTCTAGCCAATTCCACAATGGATCTGTTCTTTCTTTCCACAACACCATTCTATTGAGGAGTTCTTGGAGCAGAAAAATTGTGCTTTATGCCATACTTTTCGCAGAATAATTCAAACTTTTCATTTACAAATTCTCCATCATTGTCACTTTGAATAGAAGTAATGACATAACCTTTCTCATTATGTAAAACCTTGGCAAGTTTTTTAAAAGATTTGAAAGAATCAGATTTGGCTTTTAGAAATATAGTCCAAGTAAATCTGGAAAAAGCATCAACAATTACCATGATATAGAGATTACCACCTAGGCTTTTATTTCTTGAAGGACCAACCAAATCCATGTGAAGCAGTTCCAAAGGTCTAGAAGTAGAAACAATGTTTTTGTTTGAAAAGAATTTTCTAGTTTGTTTACCTTTTAAACAAGCTTCACAGATTTTGTCTTTCAGAATTTGAAGCTTAGGTAGCCCAGAGACTAAATCTTTAGAAATCAGTTTGTCAAGATGATTAAGATGAATATGTGCAAGCCTTCTATGCCATAACCAAGATTCTTCTTCTTTAGTAAGAAGACAACTTTGAGATGAGATAGAATGCTTGATATCTAGCATGTAAATGTTATTTAACCTCTTACCTACCAACATTACCGTGTCAGATTTTGGCTCACAGATTAGGCAGATTTCTAGTTTGAAGATAACCTTGTGACCTAGATCACATAATTGACTTATACTAATTAAGTTGTACTTGAGACCTTCAACAAGAAGAACATTGTGAATGGTCACGGTTTCACCATCTCCTATATCTCCAGAACCTAAGATTCTTCCCTTGTTGTTGTCTCCATATGTCACGTGTCCTCCATTCTTCAATCTCAGTTTTTGGAATTTGGAAATATCACCTGTCATATGCCTTGAGCATCCGCTGTCCAAGTACCAAAGTGATTCTTGCTGCTTGTTCTCGAAAAATCAAGCATCAAGTATTTGGTACCCTTAAGTACTTTGGGTCCTTAGGGGTCAAATTTTTTGTTTGACATATTTTGGAACCCATCTCATTTTACCTCGTGGCACAAAGTGTTTTCTAATATGACAGAATTTTATAGTATGCCCTTTTTTCATACAAGTAATGACAAGATGAGAAAGGAGATGTTGTTGATTTTCTAAAAGAAAAGAAATTCAAATATCTTTTAGTTTTAACCCCAACCTTAGGTTTGTACCCAATTCCAGAATGATCAAAAACACAATTTTGGGACCTAAGAAGTGTATCTAAATTTTCTTTACCTTGAGTAAACTTAGACAGAGTTTTAATCAAGTACTCAACCTTATTCTGCAGAGAGATACACTTTTCACAATTGTTGTTAGCAGCAACATTACCAGCAGATCAATTATTGTAGATTATTTCAAGATGTTCCATATCTGTCTTGCTTTCTAGTAACTCTTCTTCTAGAACTTTAACCCTATTCTCTAACCAGTTATTTAGTCCTTTTAACCGATTATTTGTATGAGATAAATTCCTAGCTTCATTATGCATTTCATTGAAAGCGATTAGTAATGTGTTGTAATTCATTTCATTTTCTCGTGGGGGTTGAACTTACATGAGATGAAGAGGATTCACGACCGACCATTAAGCATAGATTCACTTCTTCACCTTCAGATACAAAACTAGAGGATGAATCATTGTCTTGCCAAGCTATGTAGGCCTTTTTCCCTTTGTACTTTAACTCTTTCTTGTTTTGATTCTTGGATTTTTCCGGACATTCACTCCTTATGTGTCCCTGCTTACCACAAGAATAACAAGTAAAAGTATTTTGAGTAGATTTAATTCTTTTATCAGTGTACCTTTTAACCTGGCCGCTTCGTTCTTCTTTCTAAGAAATTTCCCAAACTTCTTAACCAACAGAGTCGATTCTCGTATTCATCTTCTTCAGAATCACTACTTTCTTCAATTGTCTTGAGAATAATGTTTCGCTTTTCTTCTCTGCATTTTCTTGTTCTTTAAACCTATTGATATCCAACTCGTGTTCCCTTAGCTTACCAAACAATGATGCAGTAGTCATCTTCGTTAAGTCTCTTGATTCTCGATATAGCTCGTCACCTTTGGTTGCCAAGTTTTGTCCGGACATTTTAGGATCTTGATGTTTAACTCTTCCTTGTCAAATGTCTTGCCTAATCCAATTAGATGATTGACTATATGCGTGAATCTTTTCTGCACATCTGCAATGGTTTCACCTTGCTACATTTTGAACAATTCATAGTCTCTAATTAATTCATGCTTTCTTGCCCTTTTCACGTCGAGGTACCCTCATGAGTGACCTCTAGAATCTCCCACATTTCTTTGGCGGAGGCACATTGAGAAACCCCGAAAAACTCATCAAGATTTAAGGCAGAGGTAATAATGTTCTTAGCAGTATAATCATATTGAACTTTCCTATTTTCTCGCATCAGCTTAATTCAGCCTAGTCTTTTTCAACAATTTTACCATCTACTGTATGAGTTGTTTTGAAAGGCCCATTAACAATTGTATCCCAAATACCCCTATTAAGAGATTCAATAAAGATTTTCATTCTAACCTTCCGGAAAGAATAATTCACACCAGCAAATAGAGGAGGCCTATTGATAGAGGCTCCTTCGAGAAAAATTCATCTTTCCCTCGACCATTTAAACCTTCCTTGGACCGAATTCTTGAGTAACTTACAAGAACCAGCTCCGGTACCAATTGTAAGAATTAATGGTTGAGTTCAAGAGGGGGTGAATTGAACTTTTGAAATCTTTTCGAAAAACACTCTTTCTTTTGGAAGAATGGTTAATCTTTATCCAATCTTTTATTAGGCGATTTGGTTTTAAACAAAGCAAGAATATAAGCAAGAATTGTAAAGAGATGAAAGCAGAAATTCAACACAAGAGTTTATACTTGGTTCACTCTTTCCCGAGCTACATCCAGTTCTTGACAAATCTGCCAAGTTCCACTAATTCCAAGTGAAAATACAAACCAGTAGATATACACCAATCTACCCCAAGAACTATCTTACAACACCATAAGATAGACTCTTGAATTAACCACCTAGTAACAAAACCCATTTACTGTAACCAGTGCACATTCAAACCCAATCTACACAATTAACCTTTGTACAAGTGTATGAAAAGAATAAACCTGGACTGCAGCTTTAACAATATAAAAGTCCAGAAGCAATTTCCCTAACTCAGAACTTTCTCTCTTGATGAACTTTCAACAATCTTGATCTAAACGCCTTATGATATGAAAAGTTTATGAATGCACAGAGAAAGACACTAATATGAGAGCTCTAAGATTGCTTTCAAATGTTTTCCAAATTGTATATTCAAAAGAGAAACCAAAACTGTATTTATAGAGTAAAAGAGAGAAACTGATAGATTCAATCAATTTAAAATATCTTGAAGTAGCAGATGACCGATCAGAATAGTTTTATGACCGATCAGAACTAGATATGATCGATCAGAATTGAGTTGTGAACGATTAGAACCTGATATGATCGATCAGAATTGAGTTGTGATCGATCAGAATATTTTTCAATCGATTAAAACGACGTTTCAATCGATTGATTTCATTTAAAACTTAATTCAATCGGTTGATTCGAGTTTTCAATGGATTGAAACAGTTTAGAAAAAAATGGTAGCTATAATATTAAAGATTGTGCATGAAGCAAAAATATATAATATTATCTATGATGATATCAGGGCCAAGACAACTAGGAAATGACATAGATGTGTTCTTACTCCATTGATAGAAGACTTAAAATTGTTGTGGGAGGAATGAGTTAATGTCTATTATGCATATCATTAGGAGAATTTTATGTTACATGTTTTATTATTTTATACCATTAACGACTTTTCAGGATATGGAAATTTGAGTGGTTATAGTGTTAAAGGACACCATGCATGTCCTATATGTGAAGAAGGAACTAGTTCAAAAGATAACAACCATATGATATCCTCTATAAATTACTTTCGATTCATTGAGGAAATATGGGAGGTTGATTACATTAAATTTCGGGTTTTTGTGTTGATAGTAACACTGGAGTTCATGTTGATGAGTTGGGATTTACTCTAGTAGATCTTAAAAACATAGCTTATAAGGATTATGCTTTCATCATGGCTTACCAAGCCTAACAATGTTAAAGATCCATCTAATGAGAGGTGGTCAGTTGTGTTGAAAGGAAGAACTGAACATGTTAATCATGACCCTGAAGATTCAAGCCTTGATATTGTTAAGACGCCTTAATTCTTAAGACAAATACATTTTGTTAATGAAAAAAATAAATTTGATGAAGTACAAGTTACATGTATTCACATAATGAAGGGATATGGGAGAACATTTTATATGAGTGTATTTTTTAAGTTAAGGATATAAGGTGTTTGATACAATTAAGATGAGAAAACCCAAAGAAGATTCCCACTGGACACTAACATAATCACTTATGTAGGTGTGAAGGTGCACTTCCAAAAATTCAAGAGAGGAGAAGAGAGGAAACAAAGCAAGAAACAACAAATAACAAGGGCTAGAAATGAAGGACCAACCAAGGTAGAAGGAAAAGGAAGAAATGAAAAATAGAATGGAGAAGAGAAGAAATGGAGAGTGAGGATGGAGGGGTGGCATGCCACTTGGGGGATGAACCAACCTAGGATGAGTAGTAAGAGAAGAGCTCTTAAACTTTCATTCAATTGCTAGCCATTTATAATAGGTGGAGAGCCTTATACTTATAGGCATGGGTGAGGGACCTAGAGGGAATTATATTAGAGATTCTAGAAGCACATGTTGCCCTAATTTTAACCTAGAGGGGCTACTCCCTTGGCTTGCTCTCCAAGGGCGTGACCTTTCTCATCTAAAAGGTCAATGGTTGACCCTCTCTTCCTTCATGGGTTGTCCATGCTTCAAGGGCTTGGGTCCAAAGCTCCTTTTCTCCATAAAAGGTGGTGAACTTCAAAAGAGAGAGGTCCTTTAGTAATCCTACAAAAACAAGATTTAAAATATGAGTTTAGAAAATTTAAAAGAAGGAAAAATACTAAGTAAATTAAGGGATAAGGATGGGAGGGGAGGCTTCCCTTATAGTCTTGCTTCTAGTAATCCTCCTAGGGATGGTTTTTCCCTCCTCAAGGGGACTCAGGGACTCATCATCCTCCCTTCCTTAAAGAGAATTTGTCAACAAATTCGCCAAACCTTTTTAATCCCCACAATGGCATCCTTCCTTTTGGTAGTTTTCCGTTGTCTTTCTTTTCTTTTTCAAATTTTCTCTTTTTTTTTGTATTTTTTGTCGGCTTTCCATTCATCTTTTTCATTAATCCTTATCTAATTATAAATGCTCTTCAAATTAATCTTGGACAATATGGTAGCACCTTGTACCTTATCAAGCAAATCATGAATTTTATGGATGGGATGCCTATACTTTATGGTTATGTTGTTGATAGACTTGTAGTCAGTGCACATAGGTTAACTCCTATCCTTTTTAGGGATAAGAATTATAGACATAGCACAAGGACTTTTGCTATTTTGCACCTATCTTTTTTCTATCAATCCCTTTACTTGGCTTTGAATCTCTTTAGACTCCTCTGGATTGGTTCTATAAGTTGGCCTATTATGCAAGGATGATCTAGGAATAAAATCTATTTGATGTTCTATTCCCTTTAAGGGGAGGCATCCCTTTTGGAGGTTCTTTAAAAATATCTTTAAAATCATCCAAATCTAACTCCAAACCTTGCAAACAACTAGAGGAGCTCTCATGAAATGCAAGAGATGACCCTATGGTAGGGTAAGCTAAAACTTTTTGGTGAGAAAGCAATACCTTCTTAACCTCTTTGTGGAAGATCATGATGCCCTTCTTTTTTCCCTCTTTTGCTTGCCCTTTCTGCATCCTATCTTCCTCTTTCTTTTTCTTTTCATTTTTATTTGGTCCTTTTAAGGTGAGATGGGTATCAATGTAATCTGCTTCCCTTGGAAGTTAAAAGAAAATTTGTTGGTATGGCCATCATGGAACATTTTCTTGTCAAATTGGCATGGCTTACCTAGCAAATTGTGGGGTTCTTTCATGGGAAAAACATTACAAAGAACCTTATCTTGATAATTTCCTAATAAGAACTTGTTTATTTACTTCAATCTCTTCTTCCTCACTAAGCCACAAAAGCTTGTTAGGTTTGGCATGATGAGTAGTGGGCAAACTAAGCTTATCCATAACTCTCGTGCTAGCCACGTTCACACAACTTCCTTCACCACTAATTAGTGAAGACAAATAGTGCAATCAAAGGTAATGGACTTTAACTTTTTTGTTATGGTTGGGTTCAGATTCCTGCATCACCTTTCTTTTTAGGGATTTGATAGATTTCTAACTTTGACATATTTATGATGTAATGAGCTAGTAATTGAGGTGTTACAAATGCAAATCAAGATTAAACTTGATCATTGGCTAAATCTAGTCCATTTAAAATATCAAGGTCATTGGATTGATCTAGCTAACATCCCTGAAGATCTAAGATATGATAAAGATGAGACATTGAATGAGATGGTTAGACTGGAGCTACAAGTACGAACTTGTAAGAAAGCTGGTATTTAGACCGTGGAGGATAGACTTTTACATTATGTGTCATTCATATTCTTCGTCTTTGATGACAACTCATTTGTTAGTATTTTTCCTAGTTAATAGAATAAAATTATATTTTTTTATGTTCTTATTCTATTATATTAGATTAGATTTGCATTTTTAGGAAAAAAAATATGCAAAATCACAAAAATATACTAATTTATGTATTTTAGCATAGTTTTCTGTATTACTTTCAATTTCTTCACTCACCAGTTTTGACCTTTGCCTCTTCTTTGATTTACATCTTTTTCTATAGAACCTCGATTGAGCTGATTCTTTTCGATTTCTACCACTGAAAAATAAATGCAACTCAAGATCAAAAGGACTTTTATTCGGCTTGTAACGTGGCTAAGGTAAAAAGGATAGGATAACGAAAAGATGCAAGGCTTTAAAACCCAAAAAGAAATGAGAAACAATGGGGAAGTGGATTAAGCAAGAGTAGTGGTGTTTCCTTTTCATAACTTTCACCCAACAATTTTTTTTTACTTTTCTATTTGTTTATTTTTCAATAATTTTTATTTTTCTATCCCTTTTTTTATTTTTTTATATTTTTTTATTTTAGGGCTTTTATAATTTTAAGAAAACAACCCCCACACTTAAAATTTTCTCCCCTTCCCAAAACAATTCCAAAGTTCCTCATTCTGGTATTTATGGCTTGTAATGTTGGTAAAATCAAAGAAAGTGGTTAATAAGCTCAAATATGGGTGCAATGGAAAAATGATTAAGGGTGAGGCTTTATTTGGCTAGTGGCTAAAAATGAAATATGACCTAAATCATATCAAGAGTGCAATTAAATCCAATGGTGCTAAAAAGAATCAGAACAAGTTCAGAAATGCCTACAACCACTAGTGAATTCACACAGCAAGGAAAATTGGCCCAAAATTCACAAAGTTAATATTTGTCAACAAAAATTGAATCAAAATCCAAAGGTCATGAAAAACTACCTAGATTCTAACAAGTGCAAAAAATTCAATTAGTTTTAAAGACTCTAAACTATGATTAATGCATCAAAAGACAACTCAAAATTTGCTTATTCACTAGGATATAGTAAAAACAAAACAAAAACAGACCAGGAAAAATTATTTGAAAACCGAAATATTCTAGAGTACAAAACAATTTAAGAAAGTGGATGTAATGCAACAAAAACAAGAAAATGAAAAAGATGCAAAAACAAGTAAAACAAAATACAAAAAATGCAAAATAAAATGTTGAAAAAAACTATAAAAAAAATTCTATGCATTCTCCTCTCCCCCCGCACTTAAGATAGACATTGTCCTCAATGGAAGAAGTGAAGAAAAAGAAAAAATGAAAAATGCATGAAGAAGAAGAAGAAGAAGTAGAAGAAGAGTAGAAGAGAGGAAAAATTAAAAATGCAAAAGATGAGTTTAGATGTGCTTCTCTTGTGGATCACTTAGTTTTAATTTGATTTTTGCAATGGATGGCATTCCTTCATGAAAAAGCTTCAACCGGTGACCATTAACTTTGAGTATTCTATCAGTCTTTGGATCTTTAATCTCGATGACTCCATTGGATTATATTTTGACAACAATGTAAGGTCCTTCCCACTTTGATCTTAACCTCCCAGCAAATATCTTCAATCTTGAATACATTAAAACTTTTTGTCCTTCTTTAAACTCTTTCCTTGAAATCTTCAAATCATGGTACTTGGCAGTTCTTTCTTTGTAAAATCTTGAATTCTCATATGCTTCCTGCCGAATTTCTTCTAATTCTTGCAATTGTAACTTCATATGCTCTCCAGCTTCATCAATACTCATATTACATTGCTTCACGACCCAATATGCTTTGTGTTGTATCTCTACGAGTAGATGACATGGTTTCCCAAAAACAATTCTAAAAGGAGACATACCAAGAGGTGTCCTAAAAGCTGTCTGTTGTGCCCATAGTGCTTCATTTAAAAGTAACTCCAATTTTTCCTATTGGGTTGGACTAGTTTCAAAAGTAAGTGTTTCATCTCTCTGTTGAATACTTCAGCTTGGTCATTTGTTTGCGGATGGTAAGGGATTGATATTTTGTGTGTCACTCCAAATTTCTGCAAAAGACTTGATATCACATGATTACAAAAGTGACTGCCTTGATCGCTAATGATAGCCTTAGGCGTACCGAACCTGCAAAATATGTTAGTCCTCAAAATTTTTAAACTGTTTTAGCATAATCATGCTTAGTAGTCTTGGCTTCAACCCATGTGGATACGTAGTCCAAAATAATTAAAATATAATTAAAACCATTAGAGTTCAGAAAAGGACCCATAAAATCTATGCCTCATACATCAAATATCTCACTTACAATTACTGGCTTCATTGGCATCTCATTCCTATTTGTAATATTCCCACCAGCTTTTTGACATTTATCACACTTTTTCACAAATTCATATGCATCTTTAAAAATGGAAGGCCAAAAGAAACCACTATCTAAATTTTTTCTTGCAGTTCGCTTGGCTCCAAAATGGCCTCCACTAGACATATCATGATAGAAATGCAAAATAGAATTGAATTCATTTTCAGGGACACATCTCCTAAGCACCTGGTCACTAGAGAACTTCCATAAATATGGATCATCCCACACAAATATTTAGAATCAGATTTTATCTTTTCAGCTTGTGCTTTTGAAACATGGTGTGGTAGAATGCCTGCAACAATATAATTTACTAGATCAACATACCATGGAATGTTATCAAGATGTTGAACAGAATGTAAATACTCATCAGGAAATTTTTTTGCAATAGGAATAGGATCTAATGGGTGAACAATGTGACTCAGTGATCAGCAACTTGGTTAAAACAACTGCTCCTATCCTTTATCTCTAAGTCAAATTCTTGCAGTAGGAGAATCCATCTAATTAGCCTAGGTTTGGCATTCGATTTCATTAATAAGTACTTTAGGGAAGAATGATTAGCGAAAATAATTATTTTATTGCCTAGCAAATAAGACCAAAATTTTTCCAGTGCAAATACGATGGCAAGCATCTCCTTCCCAATAGTAGTGTAATTTACCTGAGCTGCATCAAGAGTACGTGAAGCATAAGAAATAACATGTGAAGCTCTTTCTACCTTTTTGTGCAAGCATGGCTCCTAATGCATAATCAGACGCATCACACATCAACTCAAATGGTAACTTCCAATTACGTGGTTGCATAATGGGTGTTGTCATTAATCTCTCTTTCAGATCTTCAAAGGCTTTTTTGCATGTTTCAGAAAATTTGAATGGTGTATCTTTTTGCAACATATTTTTCAATGGTAGTGCAATTTTGCTAAAGCCTTGAATAAATCTCCTGTAAAAACCTACATGACTTAGAAAACTTTTGATTTCTCTCACAAAAGAGGGGTAAGGCAAAGAATGAATAATTTCAATTTT